ACAAACACGAGCATGCGCACTAAATACACAAAAATATGCACGAAAACTTATGTAATCGAAACAGAGAGACATAGATGAAGAAAAAAACAAAATGAAACAGACGACGAGAGAAAGAGAGAGGGGGAAGGGATAGGGAAAAAAGAAGGAAAGAATAGAGAAAGGGGATGGAAAAGAAGGAGATGTAAGATAGTCAGAAGGAGGGATAGAAAAATAAAAACAAATACAAGGACGAAAAGGAGGAAGAAGACGGACGAGGAGAAGGAGAAGAACAAGAAGTAAATTATTATTATTATTATTATTATTAGTAGTAGTAGTAGTAGTAGTAGTAGAAAAAGAAGAAGAAGAAAAGGAATATGAAGAGTAGATGCAGATGAAGGAACAGATGAAAGAGAGGAGAAAAAAGAGTCAAAATGCATACTATCAATAATGCCGTTACTATTATGATTGTTATTAATATTCATTAATTATTATTAATAATAATAGCATTATTATTATTAGTAGTAGTAGTAACACTAATAACGTTAATCATGATGAAGAGCTACAGGAGTTGGAGCTGAGAAGAAGGGAAAGAAAAAACAAAAAAAAAATGGAAAGAAAATGATGCGTCGGGGAAAAAAGAAGAAGGAGAAAAAAGAGGATAAGCGAAAGAAAAATAAAATATGTGCAGTGGAACGAAGGAAGTTGTACAGGAAAAGAAAAAAAGAGCTGAAGGTGAAGGAGAAGTAGGAAGAGAGAAAGAAAAAATCATAGAAATAAGAAAAAATGTAAAGAGAAGAAAAAAAAGACAAGGAGAAGAAAAAAAAAGAAGAATGAAAGAAAAATGAGATAAAGATGAGCAGGAGAAAAAAAGGAGAATAGGGAGAAAAAGCATAAAAAGAAAAAGTGGGAGAGCGAAAGAAAAATAAGAGAAAGAAAGAAAAAAATGCACAAAATAAAAAAAAAGAAGCAATTGAAGGATAATAAGAAAGAAAAAAGAAAATTACAGATAAAAGATTTACAAAGCAAGAAAAAAAAGAGAAGGAGAAAAAACTGGAAGAATGTAATAGGAATTGATAAAAAGAAAGAAAACATATGTCGGGGAAGAAAGAAAGAGAAAAGAAAGAGAAAAGAAAAAGAAGAGTAGTGAAAAAATAATAAAATCAAAGAAAAAGATGTGCCGGGGAAGAAAAAAATCGGAATAAATATGAAAGGAAAGCAAAATTGGAAGAACTAAAAAAAATCAGTGAAAAATATGTGTAGCGGAAATAAGAAAAGAAACGGTTAAAGAAAAAGTGAAGGAATGAAAGAAAAATATACGAACAAAAAAAAAAAGATAGAAGAAGAACAAGAAGGAAGAGGAGGAGAAGAAGAAGAATGGGAGGAAAAGAAGAAAGAAAAAATGAGAGAAAGATGGAAAAAGTTATGCTGAAAGAAGAAGAAGAAGAAGAAGAAGAAGAAGAAGAAGGAAGAGGAGAGGGAGAAGAAGAAGAATGGGATGAAAAGAAGAAAAAAAAATGAGTGAAAGATCTAAAGAAGAAGAAGAAGAAAAAGAAGAAGAAGAAGGGGAGGAGGAGGTGAAGAAGAAGAAGGAGGAGAAGGAGGAGAAGAATGGGAGGAAAAGAAGAAAGAAAAAATGAGAGAAAGATGGAAAAGTTATGCTGAAAGAAGAAGAAGAAGAAGAAGAAGAAGGAAGAGGAGAAGTACAAGAAGAAGAATGGGATGAAAAGAAGAAAGAAAAATGAGTGAAAGATCTAAAGAAGAAGAAGAAGAAGAAGAGGAAGGACGGGGAGGAGGAAGAGGTGAAGAAGAAGAAGAAGAAGAAGAAGAAGAAGAAGAAGAAGAAGAAGAAGGGGAGGAGCATGGAGAAATAAAAGAAAGAAAGAAAAAATATGTGCAGATGAAAAAAATGAGAGGGGAAGAAAAAGAATAGGCGAAGAAAATAGGATGATGGTGAGGAGGAGATTATGAAAGAAATACAACGTGATTCGCAAAACAAGAAACGAAAGTGAACTCATGACAAGAAATAGCCGGAGGACTCTAAGACATTGTTCGCCATTATGCCGCCATAGTCGCTTCGTCCTGCCTTATCTACGTCACGGAAACTTAAAGTTCTTGGGGCCTGGGGAAAAGAAGTTCGTTTTGGTAGGCACGCGGCCTGGCATCACTTTAAAATCGATCACCGTATGAAAAAATATGTACTCTGTGTTCATTGCCGTTGCTTGAGGCAGTTAGAGGTTCCCTCCTGCGGTCAAGTGAACAACAAAATCTCAAGATCGGATATTTAAGCAATGAGCCAGCCTCCCATATATTATTATCGGACATTTAATAGCTACCATCTATAGTATATAATGAGCAGATCAGTTGCCGATCAATACACAAGAAGGATTTAAAGATCAGCAAATATGGAACAAACTTAAGTAATAATAATAATAATAATAATAATAATAATAAAAGCTGAAATCGAGGACTGGACAGGACTGAAAAATTTGTTAGTCAAAAATGCAGATTCTGTGATAAATATGCAGAAACAATTAGTCATATTGAATCAGGTTGCGCGGAATTGATACCTACTGAATATAAAACACGGCATGACAGAGTGGGCCAATATCTGCACTGGAAAATCTGCAACGCTTACGGAAAGGAAATTGTGAGAAATTGGTATGAACACCATCCAGACTCGGTTCGGGGATAGGACCTGTAACAATTATATGGCAATTTACAATACACACAGACAGAACAATCATAGTTAATCGCCCTGACATCGTTATTAGAGACCGCAAGGACAAAACGTGCTTCCTTGTTGACATGGCATTCTCTGCAGGCTGCAATGTATCTTTGAAGATCGTCAAAAAATCTATCAGAATACAAGGACATTGAAAACGAAATCTCAAACATGTGGCACATGAGGACATTAACAATTCCAATTGTAGTTGGAATCCTCGAATTGACTGGATAAGATTCCAACAGACTCGTTGAAGGAATCACTGGTAGCCCGAGTCTTAAATAAATACCAACATTTCTACACACAAGTGCAGCACACACCTTACGAAGGGCTTTATCCATGTAGAATATGTGCGATTTTTTTTTAAAACTACTCAGTGGAAAATGTCATGATATCATTTCTGACTTTAGGTCTCTGGTCGGGACTCGGAAAGAAATGAGTATACACCAGAAATCAAAGGAAATAAAATAATAATAATAATAATGATGATAACAGGCGCCCTAATATCACACCAGTGCGCAAGAACATTCATGAATGGATCTAGATAGACGTAGCGGTATCTTGTGTTATGAACATTATAATGACGAGGCGGGCAAAAATACAGAAGTATCAAATAATGACGGCAAATCTGAGACATACAACGTTCAGAAGACCTGATTGTCCCTTTTCAGAGTTGGTGCTTTCAAGATTATTTCCAGGAATCTTTCTTCCTTGCAAAGCATCTTGGAGATATCTGATATCATTGGGAGTGCACAGATGGCACCGCTAATTGGAACAGCTCATATGCTGCAAAAATTATTAATTAAGTTTATTAATTATTATTAAGTTGCAGGTAGGAGATGATCACCATCCCCCGAACAAAATATCTAAGAGTCGGAGAAAGAAGGAAATAAATATAGAACAGAAATCAAAGGAAAAGATTAATGATAAATTGTAGGCATTGCTCTCATGACTGCTGACCTTACTCAACTGGTTGTGTTAACATGCAGACGATTCGTCTTGCTGAATTAAAATGGGCTACAGTAAATGCCCTGTTTAGTACCACAGATTTACATGGTAGCTGGTGAACGACATTTGGCATGTCACTTAGAGACTATGGTACTGTGAATCTCTGTCCCTGATTGGTAGTAGTGGAGGCGCATCATGGTCAGATGTCGAGAGGGTTGTCTTTTTTTTTTTAATTCTGAAGATTGAGGCAGCTATGTCGAATTGGAAGTCACGTTTAGATACTTCGATAAAGCCTCAGCCGGAGAGTGGATTGTGTTACCAGTCATGAAAGAATATCAAATCAAATTCTAATAATAATAATAATAATAATATGTATAAAAACCCCACACTTATCAGTGGTTACGTATAGCAGGGTTAAAACCTGAATCCGAAGGTTTTATTCTTGCTCCACAGGACCAATGCTTACTAACTAGAAATTACCAAGCACATATACTTAAAATCTATTTTAGTTCAAAATGCAGATTCTCTTATAAGTATCCAGAAACAACTGACCCTCTTGTATCATGTTTCACGGTATTGGCACTCAGTGAATATAAAATCGGACATGGCAGAATGTACAAATATCTGCATTGGAAAAATTTTTGACGGAAAGGAAACTGCATGAAATTGGTACGAACACCACCCAGACAGTTACGGAGATAGGAAGTGTCACGTTATTGGATGTCGAAGCAGGAATGAGAAAATGGCAGGTGTGAACGCTCTTTTGAACTTGAACTTTAATGACTTTTGTTTAATTTGGCGTCATTGTTTAATGTTTTTTACTAGATTTAAGAATAAGGTTAGTCTAGGCCAGCGGTCAGCAACCCCAGCCCCAGGTCACATCCGGCCCGAATACTATTGTCTGGCCTGCCAAATTTTATATATATATATATATATATATATATATATATATATATATATATACGTTATATATAACTGATAAATAATTTATCACTATAAAACATGCAATTAGTTTGAGTGCATTTAATTGCCCTTCGATTAGTCGAATTGCAATTAAATGCACTGATATGAAGTTGCATCTTTGAAGTGAGTAAGTTGATTTTTGTCTATATGAAAATTTTTAATTATTTATTGCTCTAGCATCGGTATTGAGCCCCTTTGAATTAATGTGAACGTTAGAATTTATATATTATTTTCGTTCTTATTATCTGTATATATATATATATATATATATATATATATATATATATATATATATATGTGTAGAGAGAGAAAGTGAGGTGAGAGAAAGTGAGGGTGATAAGAAAAAGGAGTGAGAAGAGAGATTATGAATAACTGTATTTTAGACTTGATGCAGGTAAGTTTCTATCTATCTATCTATCTATCTATCTATCTCAATGTCAACATTATCTATCTATCTATCTATCTATCTATCTATCTCAATGTCAACATTATCTATTCATCTATCTATCTATCTATCTATCTATCTATCTATCATTTTCACACATTTTTCCAACGTGACAACTTATATATCTATTTTTCTCTACGGACAAAGTATGATTCAGATATTCTGATGTTAAGGTAGAAAGTTTCTTCTTTTAATTTCTTATTTTTTAATTGATAAATAATAATTTTTTTTTATTTCTGGTAGGGTGATTACGAGAGATGTATATAATATTCGGCGTCATGGAAAATACTGGTTAAGCTAGACAGAGGAACAAACACACAAATTTGTTCAGATTCACCGCGTAGAAAATCGCATGTATGCAAATATAATTTTGCCAAGACGAAAAACAAAACAAAAAATAAATAAATAAATATAGATATAAAAAAAAAAATAAATAAACAAATTGCTTATACGTAAGTTTCACACATGCGTAGTAAGTGCTTTATTCTCCAAGAAAAAAAAACATTGTTTTCATGAAAAAAAGAAAATGATATTCAAGCCAGTAAGTATAATGAGCAGAACCAAATCAATGTCTACGAGATATTTCGTTTAGAAAAATCAGAAATTCAATGTTAGTTGCATGTTGTCGTTCTTTTACGCGCTCTCCAGAGCTGAAGTGCTTACACGCACAAGCAGGCGCATGCGCACATACACGCAAGAACAAAAGGCAAAATTTTCTCTCGTTAAAAGAAACGACTCATCTTCACTTCCCAATGATTTCCTGTCATTTCAAAAATATTCGCAGAACTTTTTTCATTCCTGTCCGCAATACCGTTTTCTTATGGTGTTTTTAGTCTTACGTTTTGTTTGAGACGCATTTTTTCTGTTTGTTCTTTTTTACTTTTCTTCCTTTTCTTCTTTTTTTCTTGTTTTTTGTTTTCCTTTCCCTTGCGTCACACCTTCTATCGTATCTTTTCTTATTGTTTTTTCTTATTCATTTTTATTAATCTTGTTTTTCAGTATTCTCTTTTTCTCTTTTCTTTCTTTTACTATTTTATGTTCCCTTTTTTTCTTTATTTTCTTTCTTCTACAATTATATTTTCTTCTTCTTTTCATGTATTTTCGGTCAAACTTGACAGCTTCCTTTCTTTCTTTTTTTTTTCCATTTCGTTCTCATTCACCTCTTTTTCCCACTTCTTTTTCATTTGAAAAATTTTCTTCTTTTATTTTTTTTCCTTCATTTTTTTATATTTTTGTTTTTCTATAGCTTTCCATTTTCTGTCCTAAATTCTTCCTTCGTTCTTTTGTTTGTCATATTTTCATGATCTTTTTTTTTAAATCCTTACCGCTTTTTTTCTTTCTTTTTTCTTCCTTTCTTTTCTCATTAGCTTGTATAGGTTCTTTTCTCCATTTTTCCTTTTTCTTTTGCAAAGATTTCTTTCTTTCTTTCTTTCTTATTCATTTCTTCGCCATTCTTTTTTTAATGTCATTTCATTCATTTTTCATATATTCCTCTCCTTCGTTTTTTTTTATTTTCTGTCCTATTTCTTCTTTCATTATCTTTCAAAATTATTCTTTCTTCCATTTATTCTCCGCCAGCTTTAGATTTGGTTCTCCTTCTATTTCTTTCTTTCGTCTTCTATTCTTTCATGCCTCACTTTTTTTCCTTTTCTCATTACTTCCTCTCCCAAAAACCTTCCTTTATCCATTTGCTACGTTTTTTTTCTATTATTAAAATCTTATTCAGTTGCTTTTTTACATTAATATTATATTCTATTTTCTGCTAATTCTTTTGTTTCTTGATATTATTTTTTATATTATTTATTTTATCATTATAATCACTCCGATGTGATATGTTTAATAAAAAATGTCGGATTAAAAATAAATGCATAAATGCTTTAGAAATATACATGCATCCATATATATATATATATATATTAATTATATACTATATATGCTCGGTACTTATAGGTACGTTTGAAAATATATATATATATAATATGTATGTATAAAAATTTAATATAAATATATATATGAGTGCAATTCCTATATATATATATATATATTATTTATATATTATATATGCTCGGTACTTATTGGAAAGCGCTCAATATCTCAATGATAGAGCTACATATTTATGTTTGTGTGATCTATGTGATAGAGCTAAATTATTTATGTTTGTCTGACGATGGCGACTTAATGAAACCCAGGGTCACAAACACACGTCAACACATGCATACTAACCTCTCTCTCTCTCTCTATATATATATATATATATATATATATATATATTTAAATGAATAAATAAAAACAGAGCATCTACTTAAATATGAGTATCCATTTAAAATAGATTTAAACAAGTAAATTGAAAATCTGTCGATCTAATCCATTTCCTATATATATATATATATATATATATATATATATATATATATATATATATATATATATATATACTAGCAGC